CAAAGTGTCTGGCCAAAGTGTCTGCGCCCAGGCCCGTTCAGACAGTGGCCTGGGACTGAATTGGTTAGGCTTGCCCAACTGCTCAGGCACGAACATGCAGTGCTCCCTGCTTAGACCACGTCGCTGGAAGAGCCTGGAAGGCTCACAAATATTTTGGATTCTCACGAGCAAGGCGGATGTAACAAACTGGCGCATGGCAACTGTCTGGCGCCCACCAAGATTTGCAAAAATTGACGTTGGTCTCTGGGGAATTGTCACAGGGGTACTTTTTCAACTTATCTGTGGACGTGATTGTTGCCAGGTGCATCCAGACCTCACCATAAAAGCGGTCGGATACATCTAGGAGAATGTGTGCGAGAGTATGCCCTCGGGTGCTCGAAACTATGGGGATTTGGGATTTGGGGTGTGAGCATGGAGCCAGTCATGGAAGCTGCTGCCTGGCAATAGCCAAATGAGGTCCCTACTGTCGTCCTCTGAACACAACGCACCCTGATCAGCATACATAAGCTATATTTCATCTCTGATGCAGTCATCATGATGGCGCGTTGTGTTCAGTGAGTGTGCCCTCAGATGCTCGAACTCTGGGGATTCTTGGGGATTTGTGGGGTGTGGGCATTGAGCCAGTCACAGAAGCTGCGTCTGATAATAGCCAAATGAGGTCCCTACTGTTTTCCCCGGAACATGATGCACCCCCAACGTCAATGCATATATAGCTATATTTATGGCCTGATGCAGTCATGATGATGGTGCGTGTGATAGCTATATTTCTGGCCTGATGCAGTCATGATGATGGTGCGTGTGTTCATGTGAGTGTGCCCTCAGATGGTCAAACTCTGGGGATTCTTGGGGATTTGGGGTGTTGTGGGCATTGAGCCAGTCATGGAAGCCGCTGCCTGGCATTAGCCAAACGAGCTCCCTACGGGCTTCACCCGGACAAAACGCACCGCGATCATCAATGCATGTGAGCTATATTTCCAGTCCTTTGTAGTCATGATGATGGTGAACTGTGTTTTGGGGAAGACGGTAGTATGACTGTCACGTAGATTGAACAGAAGTTCGGGCAAATCTGAGTCCAATCGTGTTTGTCTCGGAGGCTCAGAACTGTGGAGATTTGGCGTGGGCATGGAGCCAGTCATTGGAGCTACCTGGCAAAAGAAGGGTAAAGCCAAAGAGTGTCCTGGTAGGAGGTGCCAGAGTGAAGAAAGACAACCAAAGCAACACACATACAGCTGGCCCTTTCTAAAACGCTGACCTGTGCTGCCCTAGATAGCTGCATAGCTATGTGGGCATGCCATGTGGGTATGTCACGAAGAGGCGTCCTTTCACCAGCTCTGGGGCGCAATGCATCTCGTGTGTTCGACGACACAGCATGGACAGGGGGGGTGAGAAAAGTGGGTGTAGAGAGAGTAGCTCTGAAGTTCTTCCTTCCCCCTCTGAACATTCCTCCCCTGTCCCTTCTTCTCCTTCCTTTCCTGCCATGCTGTGAGTCCTCTGCAGGAATGGCAGCCATTCATGTAGGGCTGGCGAAGGAAGGAGAGTGTTGCCCCTGCTTCTTCTTCTCTCACTTTCTCTCTTCAGACAGGTTTCTGCCTGCATCAACCCTACTGGAATCTTCGTACCTGCAACCTACTGACAGTAACCTGCATGGGAACCGGGCATATGGTACATGTGGCTGGGACTGATGCTGAGACTTGGAACTGGAACTGGAACTGGGACAGGGACCGAGGCTGCGGTGGTGAAGTCCTTTCACTGAATTCAAAATGGCCCATCTAGAGACAGTGGTCTATGGTGTTACCCCACTCTCGACAAAGACGTCAACAGTAGGGCCTCCGGTCCCGATGTGTTGGTAACGGGGTGTGATGTGTTCACCGATGTGTTTGTTGTGCCTGTGTGTCACACCCCACGTAGTCTGTGACATCTGTCTGCGCTGCGCCATTCGATGCAGCAACTGCAACTGCGAAAATTGGGTGCGGTGTTTCCACAGTCCTGGCTATTTTGTTAATTCAAGCGTCAAACTCCTTTAAGCACGAACACAGTACCTCCATACTGTTCTCCCCATATTTCCATCTCGAACGGAGGCTGTGCCCCAAATTCACTCAAAGTCAAATGGGAAAATGGCACGTTTTTATTATTATTATTATATTCTGACTGTGACTTCGTGGAAGTTGAGAAAACTAAGATTTGTGTGCCTCTTCCAAAAAGCAGGGCGCCGAGAAAATGCTTCTGCTAGGTACTGATCAGAGTGCAGCAAACAGTCTATCACAACCCCCTTTATCTCGTTCCATCAATCCCTCACTTCCCTGACCTCAAAGACCTAGAAATGGTGAAGTTAATCAATTGTTCTGAGAACTGCATATGACTCGTCCTTGCTGTAAGGTCAACTCATCTGGTCATGTGTTGTGTTGGGATGTGGCTTTCAGCTTGTTTGATCCAGAGAAAATATCTCTGCCACTGAAAAATCCGGTGGACAAGTTCGAGCTCCTGCCTGCTTTCTTAAAGGTCAGCATCAGACGCCATCTCTTTGCAGCGAAGTGCCCTTTTCTTCTTCTTCAACTTTCTTGTTTTCATGTTTTTAACTAGGCTGGGCCGCCGCCCGGCCGGTTGGGCCGGGGGGGTCCGCCCGGCGAAACCGGGCGACGCAAAAATCCAGCAAGGATTTTTTTTTTTTTTTTTTTCGGAAGG